GCGGAAACCGCAACCTGATCTCGTATGGCTGCCCCATCGTTAAATTATAAGAATTATCCTAGCAAATGATAAGGTCACCGCTCAAGGACGACGTAATCAATTGTTAATTTACAAACACTGTTGAACTTGTGATGTCAAAAAACTTTGCAATTTCATTTGTCCTCTGACAAATTCTATTACAAGCTTACATGGAGATGCTGAATTCACGAATGGAATTTTGCAGGGCGCGGATATATCCAAGCCATATTGAGTTTTGCCTAATGTGTTAAAAGCCAGTTTGAGTCTCCACTCGTGAAAAAGCTTGTCAAGTTTGTTCCTTTTCCGCCCCATGCAACTCCCAAGATCTTTACCCTAATATGTACATTATGCAAGCTTGGAAGACCCAACATGGAAACATCGACGCTGGAGTTTGCAAGTGACGCCTGTTTCCCACGTCCAGGGCTACCCACTGCCGTACCTTGCCCTGAGGCAGCAATAACTTGTTTAAGCAAGGCTTCTTTACAAGCTTCATTAATGGCTGATGAGACCGCAACTCAGCGTCTCGACGCAACTTATGAGCCAAGTTAAACGATATGTCTTGGGCTCAAGCACTTCACGCATGCAATGTGCGAGGCGATATCATGTAAAGCAGAGTTGCTGCCGTCAAGCTGCGGCTAATTTGGGAACGCCAACAACTTAAATTGGGGAAAGGTGAAAAGCTAACAAATAACCTGCTTGTGAAAAACGGAAAAAATTGAAACAGGTAATGGTAGGATAAAGAGAAGAATCAGTGTAATTCATTTTTTTAAGAAAATTAGTTGATAGTAATTACCGTACATAGAACGTGTAAGGAAAATATTAAAAGGTTTTATGAATAAAACTTCCTAGAAGTTATTTCTCGCAGTCAATGCAACCAGATTGTGATGAAATATTGCATTAAAAATTAGACTTGAAACTCCCAGCTTCTCTTTAACGTTATAGATACATAGAGACAATTATTCAATTAAATCAAATATGTAACACCTTATTGTTCAACTTAAGTTGAAATGATAAATACTAAAACCACGATGCTGATTATTATGCTACGGTCACTCACGGCCATCTTAGAAAGAAAATGAATACATGTACAGTAATTAGTGAAGATCACTTGAGCGGATTGAAGCAGTTATACAAATAATGAAACAGTAACGACTAATAACTCAGTATCGGCGATACTCACGATTATCTTGGGGAAAATAATGTATTATGCAGTAATAAGTAATGCAGCAGTAATAGGTAATAAAACAAAAATAGGTAATAAAACAATAATAGGTAATAAAACAGTGATAGGTAATAAAACAGTGATAGGTAATAAAACAGTAATAGGTAATTAAACAGTAATAGACAATTAAACAGTAATAGGTAATGAAACAGTAATAGATAGTTAAACAGTAAGGTAATGAAACGTTAATGAATATTGAAGTATAGTAGCGGCGTGATACTCACGATCATCTTATCATGCAGCGATAAATAATGAAGCAGTAATAAGTATACGAGCAGTAACAACATAGTGATGCATTAGTATAGGATTACTCACGGCCATCTCCTCAGCGCGGTATGCGGTGAGCGTAGCTTGTTCCTGCAGCAGCACGCAGAACTGAGGCTCCCACGTGACCAGCGGCACTCGCGCCTCCCTCATGCGGGTTGCCGACTGGGCAACTTGTGGCACCGCTCGGTCTGCAACACACGTACAACACATGTATTAGTGATACAACACACGTACCACACGTGTATTAGTGATGCAACACACGTACAACACATGTATTAGTGATGCAACACACGTACAACACATGTATTAGTGATGCAACACACGTACAACACATGTATTAGTGATGCAACACACGTACAACACATGTATTAGTGATGCAACACACGCACAACACATGTATTAGTGATGCATCACTCGTAAAACACGCGTCTCTTAGTGGTGCGATGCAACTCACGTATAAGAAACGTATCTTAGCCATGCAGCACTTGTCTGCAACACAAGCGGCGTCAAGCGCGGCTGCATTAGTGAGGGTTCTGAGGTGGTAGTGATTGGAGATGCTAAAAATCTTTGAAAATGTTTAAATTTGAAATGACAATCAAGTGGAAGTTTAAGTTACAAGTTTGTTTGAACGGGTCCTTCTCCTTTGACAGTAACAGCTAATCGTGGATTGACTGAGGTAGATAATATCTGGAAGTATTGGATCCCGCACCTCCGTATTCCTTTATATTACGATGCTAAAATACCGTTGTGAGAGAGAGATTTTGTTGAAAAGTTATGCACAATGCTTAACTACTGAATTTGAATTCAGTCTGAAATAAAGTCGCGGTGAAATTTACATTTCGGAAAAAATTGAATATGCTAAATCAGATCAATAAATAAAAATCTCCAACCCAGTCTCCCCAGTGTATAATACTTCTGTAAAAAATAGTCAATAACCGGACACAACAGGTATTGTGGAAACACGCTCGAATATTTTCCATACATTCATGATGTTCGAATTCAATAAAAGAAAAATGATCACAAATATGTAATAGATTCAATTAATTTGAAATTATTTACCGCATGGGATAACATGATTCACGTGGCTCAGAAAATATCCTGAACTACGCCAGTTAAGCTGCAAGGTTAAGATCAAAATCCGGTTTTGAAAAATGTCAACAACGAAAGGATGACATGATTGGACACAACTGGAATCTACGGAACAATGTTGTCAATTACGCTAAGTACATTCAGGTGGGAATACGAATCTAAAGAATGTTTTTACGTCGCGCATAATGGAACATGTCTATTATATACACACTTAAAGCGGCCGAAAGTAGATGAAGAATTATAGAGTTACTAAGATTCAAATTATCTACGGGAAAATTATTTGTTCTCTAGGAAAACATTCAATTACTGTGCACCTGAAGTAATGTTGAGTTCATTTAGCCCACGTAAAAAAGCTTGGTTTATAAGTGCATAGTCGTGACGATAAAAGTAACATAAGCACAAATTGCACGCACAAGGAATTAGAACAAATGGAACTTCGATAGCGAATCCAGCTGGACTGGAGAGTTTATACAGCAAATTCAGCCACTGTGACGGCTACAAGACAACTCCAACAACGAGCAGGACTTTCTCTCCTCACAATGAACGGGGAGCCGAGTTATGAATGCAAGGAACAAAACTGTCCAGTAATTTGTAACAATAAGCCTGAGCATATTCTTTACGGTCCGCGAACTCAGTTCGTGATAGTCATTGAGGCCCCGACTTCAAAGGTGGAATTAGAAAATTAACTCGTGTAGAAAAATTTCCCTGTTACACTCTAAATTTACCGGGAATATATACGAATTTTTTGTTCTTAAAACATAGTGCTATAATCATATTATACACAATTACGCATAGTGTTAGCGTTTCTAGTATTTAGTCACCGACATTCAAGGATTTTGGATATTCATATCCTTTTCTTAATAATCAGCTGTATATCCTAATATTCAAACCAATATTTATTTAAATAAAGAGCACTTTAAAAAAGTATCTACTCTTAATAATTAGAACTCATAACGCGAACAATGCATGCTCGGTGACTTAACGACTTTAATAAAATTTGCTCGCAAAAAACTACGTCAGTTACCTGAAATTTCGGAACTTATTTCGTAATCAACAATTTTATGAGTTACGGGACTTAAAATTGAAAACACCGCACCAGTCATGCACCGTGTCTGGCAGAGATGATAATTCAAGCATACTGAGCACCGTAAGTGACATGTAGGTAGGAAATTATTTCTTCAATTTCCCGTAAAAAATAGAGGGCGTGCAATTTTAATTAAGAGAAATATTTCATTATAATAAAATATTTGTGTGCTTCCATTTTAATTTCAGAGAAAATTTTCTCTACAAAACGACTTCAGCCAGTTAAATTATAATCTTTGCACTCAAAATTTGTTCAAAAAAATCTAATAATTTCCGATCATCAAGAGCGACATAGTTTTCTCAAGATTCTTTATGAAGTTTCAAGATATCACATGCATAGGCCCTAAGCGCAGCATATCGGTTTCCTGAGGGGGCGAAGAATTGCTCGTAAGAATCACTCGATAGTTGTACTGACTCCTACAATTTCCGACAACCAGCGATAATCTAGTCTAGTCTAGTCAGCGATAATCTAGTCTAGTCTAGTCAGCGATAATCTAGTACCAGCAATAATCTAGTCTAGTCAGCAATAAACTAGTACCAGCAATAATCTAGGGCAAGTCTAGTTCGACTAGAACATCTCTGCGCGGAAAATCGAAGAGCATCCGCAGCGGCAGGCGCCAGTCTCANCTAGTTCGAGTGGAACATCTCTGCGCGGAAAATCGAAGAGCATCCGCAGCGGCAGGCGCCATGTCTCAGCAGCAGCAGCAGACGGTAGCATCGATTGTCGGAGAACGCGGACCTCGTGACACCTGGCGACCTAGCAGTCACGGCGGCCACATGTTATTAGTGTATTACAATTAGTGTATGTATGTGTGTAATTATGTATTATATTTGTATATTTTATTTGTGTATTATATCAGTGTATTTTAATAGTGTATTTTATCAGCGTATTTTAATAGTGTATTTTATCAGCGTATTATATCAATGTATTTTATTAGTGTATTATATTAGTGTATTATATAAGTGTAATTTATTAGTATATTTTATTAGTACCTATATTATATTGCAAATGGCACTAAGGATTAACTGCTATTTGCTATAATGAACGATCGAAGAAGAAATGAAAGGAAATTGGAAGTCTGAAACGTTGCTCGAAAATTCAATACGGTAGTAGGCAGTGCATCGAAAACGATCTTTAGGTAAACAAATACATTTTATTCCTACACGTTATAACCAATAGTGCAACAAAATTGTTGTGAATTAATTTAACATATCGCAGAATAATAGCTGCTGTAGAAGATACAACAAAATCCATTGATAGACCAGAACTTATTTTGATAATAGAACCTATTTTCAACAGTTACGAATTAACACGTAACGTATATGTTTAAGGTTCGTCACGTATATGTTGTAGGTCAGCGAAGAGTTTTTTTAAATGAAACACATTTAAACTACTTTACGCAGGAAATTTAAGCAAATTTATGGAGTGTTATAAAAAACTATAATTGATAGAAAGATGTTTTAGAATGAGCATATCTAATGAATTAAAATAATGATGACGTAGACTCACTGAAGACTGTCTTAAGGAAATGACTCCAACGGAGTCTCTAACAGAAATTCGAGTGAAATGAATTTCTGACGTAACTTCCTTCAGCCATAATATAAAAAAAATAACAACCGATACTTATAATTATCGTTTAGCGTAGCAATAGTTTATTAATAAATGGATTGTAATATTCGAGCTGAAACCCTGAAAAATAATGAAGAGTTTCTCAAGCTGCGCTAGAATATTTTCATAAAAGACATTAAAGATAAAAACGTCCTGCGACAAGGCGTCTTGAGACAATATAAAAAAATAGAAATTTCTTCGTCTATAAAACGTCCTGAGACAATATAAAAAATAGAAATTTCTTCGTCTATAAAAACGTCCTGAGACAAGGCGAAGAAAAGTCTCATGTGCGTAAGAAGAGTTGACGAATGACGGTGATAAGCGCATCGTAAAAGCTAGCTACCGAGAAGAAGGCTCGTTGACATTCGTAATGAGCTCCACAGAGGAGCTTAAAGACGTTCTTAATGCGTGAGAAAAAGATGATATCATGCAGTAGTGCAAGCATGCACTGTAACGCTATGCTTATCCCTTATACTCTTGCTACGAGTGCATACGACGTTCTTAATGCGTGAGAAGAAGATGATATCATGCAGTGGAGCAAGCATGCACTGCAACACTATGCTTATCCCTTATACTCTAGCTACGAGTGCTTGCGGTGCAGGGTGTACAGGTGTGGGAAAGTTTGTCTCGACTGTCATCGTAAGAGTTAAAATCCTCGGCGCGGGAGCTGTGACCTTTTGAGTCTGTATTTGAATTTAGACGCACGGTATTCTTTTTAGCGCATTTTCTATTTTTTTTCAAAAAATGCACTATTGTGCTCGCCATGTCCGTCTTTCTGTCTGTCTGTCCGTCCGTCTGTCCGTCCGTGACCTCAAGTTTTCGTCGACGAGAAAATGCGCTTTCTGTCACTCACTGCAGTATAGTACTGAGTTATATTTTTTACCATTTTGGATTAAAACGATATTCATAAAAAATGTTGATTAGGTATTGGTCAACTGTGACAATTATGACAGACAGTAGGTAACTTGAATTAGGCGAATTAAATGAGGAAGTTGATCAATGTCGTATATAATAGCTGGGAACTTAATTTTCCTTATACGAATTTACTTGATGAAATGGAAAAAGATTGAGAAAAGTAATCAAAAAATTTCCTCTGAAAATGAACATTTTCCTCAATTTAATGCAATAAAGTGAAACATAACACTCATAAATAATTGTCCCGCATTTGCATGAATTTTCATTCAGAATTCCTGATCATACACTTGACATAGTAAGATAATTTTTTCCTAACGACCAGTTATATTGTTATAAGTTTTTCTTGAACATAAGCATTATGAACCTTGATTGTATTATACCACGTGTATTGCATGTACAATTACCTGGTAGTACACATACGAAATACGAACCTTACTTTGGAATAGCGTTGCGGCAGGTCTTAAATATTGAAGTTAGTAAAAATATTTGATT